CAGCCATAACATTCTCACAAGTGCCAATATATTTGTAAATCCTCCTACACAATCGCCATTATTGTCTTTAATTAAACCCCACAATTATCTCTGTTGCATTTGACAACTTCATCAGTGTTAAGACGAAGCCAACCTATACGAGGGGGAACCATTTTGTCTACTAAGTTGTAAAAAATCGTTGCTAAGTTCAGGAGGGACCAAAAGCGTGGTAAAAAGTTTTAGAAGAACCATTCTTTAGGAAAAAAAATCGAGAGACTAAAAGTGAAATATGAGATATTTAGGATGAGCACAAACATATTTAACTCTTTTTTAAACTTAATATTGGATGTATCCGAATAAACACACTTAATAGTCATGCAGCAGCAATACAATAAATATGTAAATATCAACAATTTCCCTATTGAGAAAAACAATTGAAAAATAGAAAAACGATTAAAATAAAATTATAAAAATTTGAAAATACAACTAAAAATCAAATCAAATTAAGTCTACAAATTTTTTTAGGATTTTTTCAAAAATATGAAAATAGAACATAAATCAAATAAAATAGAAATACAAAAAATATAGGATTTTGATCCCTGGTTTTATCTGATGAATTGGCACGGTAAAATTTTAATTCAGAGTTGATTTTTCAGTAAATCAAGTTTTTTACGTTATGTCGCGTAAAGGTCAGAAACGCAAGAACGTAAGGGCCGGAACATGTGGATACAATTCCTATGACTCTAATATTAGGTCAAACCGACAGAGTTCCCGACAATAGTGTCAATTTCAATGAAAATGTATTGTAAATTAGTTCAGGAGTCTTAAATTAGTTCAGGAGTCTTTTCGTGTATGTATTTCCGAATTCATCTAGAGTGAATTCGGAGACGCACATCTGAATCAATTTTCTGCTTGTTTTATGAAGGATGCTATCGAATATGCATTTTTGAATTCACACATGAGTATTTTTGAATTTTCAAGAGTGTGTCCATATAACAAGGGTGAGAAGAGAAATTGTCTAATAAAGTCATTTACATGGATCCTATGATTTCTCCAGTACCACAAAGTGTGGCAAGTTGTGGCCCAAGTAACAGCCCAGTTATCTTGTTCTCCACGGCCAAGGTTTTCTACAAATTAGGTTAACCCAGCACAACAAGTTAGTATTAAAAAAAATCTCCCAGTGAAGGAATCCACACACTCTTATCCACATCACATTCCCTAAGAGAATGAGTGATGGTCTCAAAGATCCCTGGGCACTCTAAGTAGAAGGGGTCCTTGAGATTTCTTTGATAAAGCCAGTGATTTGGGATGAGGTTGTTATGCTTCATCACCCATATGAAGGATCTCACTCTTTTCGGGACTTTAAGCTATGATTTCAACTACTAATATGAGCAAAAGCATTTGCTACACTAAGATTCTCATGTTTTGTCCCTTTTCACAAGCAGATATCTTTCTTTTAAGTAGAGCATGAGGGGCTGGACTAGTTTTCACGATATCCAAAATATCTTGAGGAAGGAGTCTTCAAAGCCAATTCATATTCTAGTTTCCATGAGCATATACTAGGTCACTAACTTGGTGAAGCAGATTAGCAGTCCCTGGATCCAACAGAGCAACAGACAATTCCAGCCCAGGGGCAACCCAATAATTCTTCCAAGCCATCAGCTTTTGTCCATTTCCAATAGTCCGGTAGGTCATTTCATTGACTATTGGCCACAAACTAGTAATGGTTTTCCAAAGACTGGAGTCATAAACCTTGGCTTCAATGTTCTGATCTAAATTGCATTGTCTTCCATATTTACCTCTCGTCACTTCACACCATAAAGAGTGGTCTCCACTTTCAAGCTTCCAAGTCAATTTCAAAAGACGAGCTTTATTCATATTTTCCAAGTTCCTCAACCCCAATCATCCCATATTCTTGGGCATGGTTATGTTATCACATCTCACAGTATGAGCATACTTCTTTACATATGTATCCCCCACAAAGCCTATCTTAATTTTCAGGATTTCTTTCAAGCATGCACTAGGGAGAGCACAATTCATCATATGATACATAGGGATGACCTTTATCAATGCCTTGGTTAAGGTTACCTGACGTGTAAAAGAAATAAGTTTACCTTTCCATGTTGGTAGCTTAGCTTAGACTTATTATATAAGATACTGACAATCTTTCACACTAGGTCTTCTTCCAATCAAAGGAACTCCCAGATATTTTCCTAACTCGTTTGTTTCCTTGAAGCCTCACAAATGAGCGGTTCTCTTCCTTACCCGATCTGTTGTATTTTTTGATAATCAACACTAATTCTTTGACCTGACATAGCACTGAACCTGTTCAGGGCATCAATCACACAAACTATTTGCTTTTCAATAGGAAAAGATCATCAGCAAACATTAAGTCGGACAGATTGGGCCACTTCCTTCCCACTCTCATACTTTTCCAATTCACTCACATATTTGTCCAATTCTCCGTGGCAACTTCCTCATTAATGAGACGGGGATAACTTATCCATGCAAAGCACAAAAAGGTAGGGGAAAACGGGTCCCCTTGTCTCGACCCTTTTTTGGGAGTGAAGAAATCACTACCTATCTCATTCCAAAGAACATTCATTATAATAAATGGTTCTCATTTTTTATAATAGACATGCTACTATCGCGGTAGATAAACACAGTTGGAGTAAGTTTTTTTTTGTAAAGGAGTTTCAACTAGCAAACATCTTAACCAACCTATTTATTAACTCATAGTCGTCAATGTTATCATTTTAGACTCTATTGTGAAACAAGCTAATATAGTTATTTCTGTGATTTCTAAAATATATAACCACTAATTGCTTTAGAATCATTTAATAATATATTCCAATCTACATCAATGTATCATTCAAGTACAATAGAAAATATTTGATAATACTAATTTAAGTGTATAGTAATTAAAAAAATTCTATTTTTTATATTATGTTGAAAACTAACTATGGTGTGTAAGCTAACCAATACAAAACATAAAATTTTCTCAATTAAGACTCAAACACACCTAACTTTCTAATAACGATAAACTTAAAAAAAAATTCCAAATTCATCCCCATACTGAATTGTTGACATCGGGTGGGAGAGAAGTAATGGGGAAGAGTGGGATGCATCGGGTGGACATTAAAGAGAAAGGGATTACAAGCCAAATGTTTTACAATGGTTTTAGTAAACAAAATTATCTTGATATCAATCAAAGAAAAAGATAAAGAGAGTTTCTTAATACACCTTAACTGTTTTTTAGACACCAGTGTGAAATTCTAAAAATACATTTGAAAATCGAAAATATATTTCTGGTGCGCACCATCACACATATATAATTTATTCGGTTTTGAGATTCACTCCATTTTTATGAAAAAATTGATTCCATAAATGCACTTTCGATATAAACCAGAGATGCATTTCCGGATTCTAATTAGAAAAAGATGATATCTTTGTCATCAGGATCTCTAAGTCATTTTTCAGCAAAATACTTAAAGCACCTACTTTTCCTTCACTCCTTTTTCAATCAGATAACACCCAACGACTCTTCCAATCATCTTCATTTTTATTTTACAAAAAATCAATATTAACTATAGTTAGAAAGCTAACTTCTATTACTATGGAATCATCAATCAACTAAGTGAAACTATAGCAAACGAAAATATAACATAGTTTATAGTTTGGTTGAAAGCTAAAGACAGAAAGAAAATACATGAGAGATCATGAATGAATCATAGAATGAAAAGCAAGAGGTTGAAAAGATGGGTTGAGATTCCCATTGCATCTCTTCAAATTCAAACAGTGGAAATTTCAAATGTTTAGTTTAAGAAGAACATTAAGTAGTAGTTTCCAAGAAGAACATTAAGTGTGTCCTTTTGTTTAAGGAACCGGAAATATATTTCCAATTTATATCCCTTTTGTTTAAGGAACCGGAAATATATTTCCAATTTATATCGGAAGTCTGTAAAAGTAATTTTTCAAAAAAAAAATGCATTCCGGAAATACACTTTTAGGGGCCATTTTGGTTTTTCATAGTGTTTTTTCTTATATAGGGTGCTATAAGAAATTCTCAAGAGAAAATCCTTAAGGAACTATTTAGAAGTTGGTTTTTGAAGAGAAAAGTTTTAGAGAATTGCATCTATATCTAAAAATATGTTTGATATTGGTAAAAAATTTTAAAAATAATATAATCTTATATGCTAATGTAATATATTATTTTTTAAACAATATAATCGTGTGCATGGAAAGAACTAGTTAAAAAACTTTAGTAAAAAAATAAATGCACTACATTGTTGCAGCGTCCCAAGCTTTGAAATTGGGATCAAAACTCTAGCTGAATTATGCAAATAACCCATGACAAATTTTAACAGAATTGTTCATAGTACAGAAACCTTGATTTATTGACATTATCAACAATGGCATAAGAGAGTTCTATTGTAGTTCTAATACTATACCTTGGCTTGAGATGAAACTTCAAAGATGAAAAGGACAGAACTATCAGATTCAGTTACAGTCAGTAACTGTTACGAGCTCGGATATTTAACTTTGGAGAGTTGGACCAAAAGATTTGTGTTTTCGGTAATAAAAAAAATACCAACAAATATTCTTGAAAATACTCTTGCAGGCTTCATGTTGAAATCATAGTGAGTGTATGATATATGTTAAAATGTGCATATTTATTGATGCAAGAATAGCTTGATGTGAACCAAATATTCTGAGTAACTTGGATATCATATAACAATACCTATGTTGCTTTATATCCCATGATTATTTACTTCAGATTAACAAGTTCTTCCATTCATTGGAAAAATAATATCAGGTGTACAGAAGAAGGATCAAGGAAGATCCTTCAAAGAAAAAAATGGTACAGTAACTCAATAACTAGAATTCATGAAAGCAATATCATATCTTAGTAAAAATACCAAATAAAATGGAGGAATAAAATAAAACAACTCTCATTAAAAGAAAAACTTAACTACTAGTAAAATATAAGCAGCGCATTTAAGTACATCATCATGAGAGCATCATGTTAGAAGAGTTCTTGTGAAAGTGTCTCTGGCTGTAGCCCATGCCTGAGTTAGTGTCTGCAATATCAGAAAGTCGCTGTCAGATTGACGATGAAGTAATATGACATTATGCATTTTTGTTGCAAAAATCAAGAAAATGCACAGTACAGATCGAAACTAAGCTGAAAGAGAGTAACAGTACCTGCTCTGATAAGGGGGCATCAGCATCCATGTTATGGGAGGTCACTTTTTCAGCTATAAGAGGTCCATTTGTTTCAAGAATAATCCTTCAAGCAATAAAAAAATTAGTTGTTAAAAGAATTAATAAACTTTCATTGGAATTTGGAAAGACAATCTGTGGCTAATGAATATTATATACATACCCTCCGTCAACTATCTCGTCAAGACATAAAAGAATGAGATCCAAGTTCTCAAGTGCCTCACCTTTGTCAACATTGCTCCTGTAAAAGGAACACAAATTAAGATGAGTAGAGAGACCCGTCTGGTTTTAAATTCAGATGACAAAATACAACCATAAATACCTCAGCAAAAGGGTGACTGCATCGAAGAAACCCTGAAGAACTGATGCCAAAATGAGCTCATTTTCATCATCACCGCCAGTGACAAAGAAATGCAGGTCTTGCACAAATTTGTAAACAATGATATTGTTCTCAAGCAGTGTTATCTCAGCTGCAGATAATAATTTTTCAACAATATCTCAGTTTTAAACGAAACACGATAACCATGAGTGCTCACAAAAGTTTTTCTACAATAAAACAACAGATACCATCATTAAGTGCTTTTTACTGCGCTTTGATTGCCCAAAAGGGAAAAAAAAAGTAAAAGTAAATATGCCTGGTGTTTTTGGGAAAGCTCATGTTCCCTTCATATGTTAAAAAACAGTAGAACAAGATACGGCTGCTACTAGTACTAGCAAATGGCTTGTGAACTTTTCAACCTTACTGTTTATCAGTTGATATAAAAGGCACAAAACAAAATACTACATTCTAACATAGGTTTTCTGTAAGCAGTTTATTTTCTGCTAATACGCTAGAAAGGATGTTTGATTAAGCACGTCAAAATTGAAGGCAGTGTAAAAAAGGAATGCATAATTTTAGTAAAGAATGGCCGGGTCTATTTCTCAACTTGTTATGAAGCAGATAGTGATGCTGGCTCATGAGAATGTTTCAAAAGATAACAAAATCTTTTGCATATTGATGCAAGACACCAACTGATGAAACTGAGATAGATACTATATCTACTTTGGTCCACATTATAAAAAAGACACATAAACTCTTCATTTTATTATCTATCTAAAGGTGACACCATTACTTTATTGTCTAATGAGGTAAAGAATTAACTCATGAGTTACAGTAAATAGAATAGTTGGCATGAATCTGGGCAAAAAAAAGGTTTTTAAAGACTAAAATGCGTAATAGAATAACCCACAGTTACATATCTGTTATCAAGAATCATGTTTGATTTATATAGCCAGTGCAATCACCATAGGCACTACACTAGAGCACAATACAAAATTAATTGACTTTATATCATGAGAGTACTTCACAAACTTTGTAGTTTACCTTCAGTCCGTGCATTTGTCTTAACAGTCTTAGTGAACACAAACTTCTCAAAAGCTAATTTTGAACTGTTTGTTGGCCAGTCATCTGAGTAATACTTGACTGCCACACGCTTCCCTTCAGAATCTAAAAGAAGAATGTTTTTAATCGAAGGACACAAGCCCTACAGTTGAAACAACATGGAAACATGTAAAAAAAAAGCACTGAAATTTTCACAAAATACGTTTTCACATATATTGGAAGACCCCTTCTTTAAATTGGCAAAACTGATAAACATAAAAAAAATGCAAGCATAATAGGTGCGGAACATCTTGTTCATAAGATAGCAATTTCAAATAATCAACATTTTATCATATTAGTTCCTAGTTCCTAGTTCCTGGTTACAACTTGATCAATAAATACAGATTAAGGCATTGCAGAATTGTCAATAGCAGAAAATAGTGGTTTCTTCAAATTCTACTAAGCTACAGTGTGCTATAACACTGCAATAGCTGTTGCTTTACAACACTTTATATTAAACAGCATATAGTTCGGTTCAAATTTGCCTACTCCGTTGCTGCTATTTGACAACCCTAGGCATTCAACACTCAAAATTAAACACAAATCTTCAACTTAGGAACCACAGTAAATTTCTCCAGTTATACCTAATCAGATTTTTGTTCACATCAATACAAAAACAAAATGAATCCCTTTCTCTTATCATCAATTATCTCAATAGTAAAACCTTGCTTACAAAATTTGATAAAACCAGTAACAAATTCACATAGGGATAATTTTATTAGTCAAAGCATCACATTAATAAACAAGAAGTGTTTAAAACGGATCTGAAATGAGGCAAACCAAATATCTCAAATACAAATACACGTTCGCAAGTATATGAATCCAGAGTCAAAAAAAGTGGACACAAAATCAAAACTTTTTGGAAACCCAATTCCAAAATTAATTGGAATAAGCTCAAATAGGATCCATATATCTTTCGATCCATCAGAGCAGAAAAGAATCTCAAAAAATTTCATCAATTTAATAGTTTTCTCATAAATCTATATGCATAGCTATTGCATTGGGACTGAAGTACATAGATTGAAATGATATAGAAGATGAGAAAGAGAAAGGGACTTACGTTGGATGCCATGTCCAGGGAGAGGAGAAGGAAGATGCAGTGTGTGTTTGTTGTTTCAAGTTTGGAGATCTGCGATATCAAATAAAGGGTCGGTAGGAATAACGAGGGGCAATTTTAATATAGCCTTATTTTCATTTTTATTTAGTTGGTCTTTTATAAAGAAAAGAATGGATATAAATAATTTTACTATTTTATATTATTAATACAATATTTTTTAACTTTTTTATAAAATTTCAAAGTTTAATTCTAAAACAATTTTTAATGACATGAAATACATATTAATTATGGGTTTAACATAAATTTTAAATAAAAATATTTTTTTGAATAGTTTATTGTTGAAGTAACACTAACATGTCATTAATATTGTGTTATATCATTAAAAATTAACTTAAAAATCACAAGAAATTAAAATCTTAAAAACATTAAAATTAAAAAATTAAAATTCGGAATTTTAAAATGAAAATATTAGAATTTAAAAAAAATATGGTAGATTAAAATTGCAATTAAACCAATTTTTTATTTATAAATTTTTATTTTAAGAACTTATATATATATCCAATAAACATCGTGTATTCCTCCGGTAGACCATATAAGTGTTTTGAAGTTAACAGTATGACATGGAGGAATAATAATTTTCTATTGGACAATCTTTAATTTTTCTCGCTTTACACTTTTGTCTGTGAGGAAGCCAACCCAATCTGCTCACAGATGAGAACTATTGGCAAGCACATAATCCAAATTTCTGCCACATTTCAGACATTACCCTTGCCATTATGAGCCGAGTTTATTTCTCTTGAATATATGAAATTGGCGACGGTTGAAAAATCACCCTGAAGGAAACATATACAATTTCAAGTCAAACAGGGAAAAAATGAAAAATATTTGTGATTTCAAAATGCTTGCATCTGATGTTGCTGGTTCATTCTAAAGAATTACGTTGAGAACCATTCTATAGGGAGAAAAACTAACTATTGTAATCAAGTAGAATGAAGAAGAATAAAAACATGCCTATAATCTTGTTGCTGACACCATCATAAGATAAAGTATCATATCTTGAATTGGTGTCTCTCTGCTGCATCTCGCATATACACAGCACATTTGTCTCCGCAAGTCAAGACATGCATTTCATCAGCTTAATCAAGAAAAACAAAACATATAATCTTCATGTTAATCTCCAATAATATGCGATTGGAAGAAAGGAAACAAACTAGAGATCTTTGGATTTCATAGCTGGCTGTGACGCAATAGCATCATGTTAACAATTTGTTCACCTTATAACTTAGTTACCATCTTGCAATTAGAAAGCACAAGCTTAGTAAATGATCCCAAGCAAGACATTTCTTTCTGTAGATTCTTAAGTCTCACTGCCTTCCATCTCATTATCTGTTCCACTTAACTTTGGCTGGCCTTTCGATGCATTGCACAAAGCTGATTTCTCATCCACGCTCTTTTTTATTTTGCTTAAAAGGTGTTTACCTCTGGTTTTCATAAACAATGTTCTCTTAACAATATTAGTGCTTTTTACCTCTTTATACTCAAGTACATCGCGAACTTCTTCAATATCCCTCAATCGGTTACGCTTTCCTTGGCCATTACGAACTATATTAAAAGCCATTTTTTGCAGTAAGTCATGAATTTGTATTCTATTGCTATTTGAAATGGTTATGAGAGCTTTATCTTCAAGTATTTATATCCCACTAGTAGCACTGAAACCACATGCATCTAGTATCTTTGTGGCAAAAAAATTACTTTCACCTTTGTAAAAGAATGCGACGTCTAGAAAATTTTATTTCTCACACTTTGTTAATCCATTATAGCTCACTTGTAGCACTTCTTGAATTTCATTCATGCATTCCCTTTTGTTCTTCAAATAATCCAGTTCAGATTTCCAAAATTCAGGACTTCTAGAATGATAATGAGAACCTAAAACTTTCGAAGCTAATGGAATCCCTCCTGCATATGCAACAGCCCTTTTCAAAAGAACCTCGTAACTCTTTTGGGGAAGGCTTCAAATATAAAAAGATTTAAAGATTCTTCGATGTTCAATTTTTTAACTTCGTGTATAGCATCAACTCTTCCCCTGAGTGTGTGCCTATCTCTTGTTGTGATAATGAGTGTGCTGTTAGGTCCAAGTTCATCAAGTTCTCCACACAAATAATCTAACTGTGCAACATTACCCACATTATCAAGTACAATGAAAACTTTCCTACCACTGAGCCTTCTCTTAATGAATGTGTCATCAAGAACATCAGATGTGGTAATTTCTCTCTTTAGTAGCTCGGTGAAAATGTAATTTCTGATTGTTTGCTATGAGTCTTGCTAGTTATAACAACGTGAAATAATAAAAATAAACGAATCATGTTGGAGGAACATTTTCTTTTGGTAAGTTTGATCATGGTTATACTTAAAGATGAATGTTTTTAATGGGTTTTCTTAGAGTTTAGGTTGGACCTAACTCAATCCTATAAAACCGGTTTTTAAAGTGAGGATTGCACCCTCTTATAAACATAAATTCAAACCATATAATATCCGAAGTGGGACTCCTAACACGTTTCTGTCAACGAAGGTTTGGATTTGGCGAGAAGGAGGCGTAATGGTAGTCTCTTGTTGAAAGTGGACAGTTTCTTGCTACCAGCGTCTAATTTCTTTCATGTTCAATTAGAAAGGGTATGTAAGGGCCAGTGTATCTCTATACTTGCTATCTTTTGGTAAGGCACCATGAAAGTGATTCATGAGATTGTTTGGATACAAAGCCATTTTCATGGGAAGGTTTGCTGAGAGGAGGAGGACGTGTTGGGTAAGTTGAGTTAAAATGTGCTTACCAAAAAAATTGAGAGGTTTAGGAGTAAAAGTATTGGATTGTTTAATGTATTCTTACTTCTCAAATGAAATGTCAATGTATTGTAGAAAAGAATGCAATTTGTACTGAATTAATAAGTTTTGGATACGCGTTTCACCTATGTTTCTCGCCTCCCAGTGCGTGCATTTTTAACGTGACTTTTCTAAAGCTACAAATGTTAGCTTTTGAGTATCCATGCGTTTGGTTCCTTTTTCAATTTTCTTCTGCCACCACACAACTATTCTTCTCTAGGATTTTAGATGTGGTTTTTCAGTGATTTGGTTTTCTAATATGAATCCAAACACATACTTAGTTTTCTTTAATTTCCAATTTCATTTACAACAAACCCTAAATAACAAATTCAATGATTCTATAACCTAACCTGATTTTTAATATCTTTGAAAACTAAAATAAACATAGAAATCATATGAAAGAATTTCAAATATCTCATAGTTACGTGAAAGTAGATGAATCCCATCCGGAAATATTAGAAGCTTCTTTGAGTGCAGTTTTTTATAGGAGTGACAATTAAATCCATTAAGACATTCAATAAAAAAATCTATCTAATCCATCTATCAAATAAAAAGTAAATTAATAAATTGGATTAAATTCATTCGTTTATATTTATGGATGGATTCAATCTATCCACGATTGGATGATCCAATAAATTATTTTTATATTATTCTTTAAATTTAATAAATCTATTTTTAAATAAATTAATAAAAAATTAAGTTTTTCAAAAAAAGAAAACGATGTTATTCAGAATTTTGAAAAATTGAGTTTTTTTTGGAAAAATCAAAAAAATCGAGTGTTTTTGGAAGATCTAGTTTTTTGAGAAAATTGAAAATTTGAGTTTTTTTTCAAAAAGTCGAGTTTTTTTTTTGAAAAATCGAGTTTTTTCAAAAAATTGAGATTTTTTTTGAAAAATTGAAAAAATCGTGTTTTTTGGGAAAAATTCGGAAATACTTAAAAATCGGAGTTTTTTGAAAAATCGAATTTTTTCAAAAAATTAAAAGATTTAGTTTTTTGGAAAATACAAAATATATATATATTTTAAGATAAATAAATAAATTTAAATTATTTTATTTTTGCTGTATGAATGTTCATTCATTAAAATGTTAATGGATTTGATGAATTTTATTTTTAATAATAGATTTGATTAGAGATTTTTAAAGAAGTTTTAGTGGATTGTTAATGGATTACTGAATTATTTTAATCCATCTATTAACAATCGAATCCATATTCATCTAATCCATTCATTTTGACACTTTTAGCTTTTCAACCCAACACTTGGTCTTCCTGAGATTCATTATTCCTAACTTCTCTCTCATATTTTGCAAATGCTTTCTCATAACTTCCAGTCTGATTTCTAATATGAGACATATCTGTTTTTATAGAAAACAGGTATAACAACTTGTCCAGGAACTTTTCTTCTACATTCAAGTATTTTAACAAGCTCTTCTAAACATCATTTAGAAGAAGCGTAGTTTTCTGAGAACACAACGATAGACATAGTTGAGTTTTGAATTGCTTCGACAAGTTCACGCCAAATTGGAATCTTGAATTTGTGGGGAATAGCTACCCCAGGCACCAAACCCAAGTCTTCAAAGTCTAAGCCAGACATATCTTGGATCTCCACAGCTTTCAGTTATCTTCTAGTTGCTTATATCTGTCGTCGGCCGGCGGATATTGCTCATCAGAATAATCCTCATCTTCAGAGATTTGATTGTTTCCACCCCTAGCGCAGGTGCTCCTAGCATATTCATCTTGATTTTCATTCTCTTCGGAGGAATCTTCTTTAACTTGGGCTTGTTTCGTGGGCCCTTTAAACTTCTTCCCCATGTTTAGGATGCCAACTTGTTTCTTTGCCTTCTTCTTGCTCCCTTTGGTAAAGAGTGCTTTCAGATCTATCTGCCTCTTGGCTAAGTTCAGGAACATTTGTTGGAACTGGGCGTTCTGAGCTTGGAGATCTTTAACTGTTTTCTCTAGAGCCATTTTCTTACTAAAATAAACAGCGAGAAAATGAAAAACCTGTCTTGAGAATACCTGTTATGCAATGACATGCATGATATGTAAAATGCAATGTTTTCAAGGATCTCGCGGGATAAACACGAGAAATGTTAGGAGTTGAGTCCGACTGTAGTTTTGATTGAAGAACTTCGCATTGTTGAATGTTCTTCTACGAGAATCAAGCTCACCATGTCGAGTGGGTCATAGCCCTTGACACTTTGGCTTACAGCATTTGGCTAGAGAAAAAATAAATCCTCTTGCCCCTTGATAGACGTCTGATTCAATATAACCCTGCATCACAAACCCTTGAGATCCTTGAAATGGTTATTGAAAATGTTATGGTATGATGTCATGATGTTATGTACAAATAATCATATACAAATAAAACAAACAAGTCCTTAGGTTTAGGCTTACATGGGGTTTATAGGTAAGTATCCTCTAGAAACTTAGTTGGTTTAACTTGTCCTAACAAAAGTAACCGGATTCTAGGGAATCTCAATATCATTGATCTTTCTTCATCGGGCATTGTTTCAGCGTAAGCCTCTTCATTGGCGACCAAAATATCCCGAAAGTCCAATCTCAATGAACGCAACATTGAGTATCAACCAACTTCGGACTGCACCAAAGCCGACTATCTCACTACTTCCTAATGGCCAAGGTGTTTAATTAAAGGTTCTACGATTAGTTAGTGCTTCATGACACCACACATCGGTCCCGTATTCTCCTTGACTGGACTCAAGGGATACCGATACGAACAAATGTGTGACACTAACGTAGCCATCGCTTCAACCATATCAGTATATCTCGCACAGTCCCCACGATCTACTGCTACTTACCTAATAATGTTTTCCGATCTGGGTAGAGGATCAATACAAAACCCAAACAACCATTTAAAAGTAAAGCAAGCAAATCAAACAATGAAA